CTATTTTGTGCCAATTGATGACAGATTTGATGTTTGGCGTACAGGAGTAGTTTGTCTTTGTTTCTGTTGAATAAACTGTGTTTCTGTTAAATAAATTGTGTTTTTGTTGATATATTGTATTTCTGTTGATTTTTGTCTAGATTGTGGTTTTTTGGAAAATGTTAGTCAGTTATGGTTAAAAAACATTGTCCAATATTTGTTGAAATATTTATATATATATATATATATATATATATATATATATATATATATATATATATATATATATATATATATAAATGTATATATATGTATATATATGTATATATATGTATATATATGTATATATATGTATATATATGTATATATATATATATATATATATATATATATATATATATATATATATATATATATATATATATATATATATATATATATATATATATATATATATATATATATATATATATATATATCAGTGGTGTACACTGGACTTTTAGATGTTTGAGTTTTGACACTTACACACATTTTCCAAACTCCAAACTTTTGTATGTTCATGCTTATGTCAAATGAGGATGTTTTGTAAAAAGTTGTGGCGATTGGAGCTTGGGGACAAAAAACCCCCAATTTTCGGGCCCACCCAGCCCTTAACGTGGGAGCAATAAGTTGATAAAATAATTTTTTTAGTATTTTTATCTAAGTTTATAATCATCAACAAATTTCAAATTTCACCCAATAATTTCTTATTTTTCGAAAATTATGACTATATAAAGATTTAACTCCTCTTAATTTGAGGGGGCTGTAAACTTTGTAGGGTCATAAAAACTAAAACTAAGAGGTTATTGCATATATATATATATATATATATATATATATATATATATATATATATATATATATATATATATATATATATATATATATATATATATATATATATATACACAAGTGATCAAAAGTTTAGACTCAGAAAAAAAATCTCTTAAGCTTAGCTCTGAAAATGCTAAAAAAAATTTATTAAGATAATGCTTGAAATTTTTTTTTTTAATTCAACTTATTTAGTTTGTTTCTAACATAATTACAAAAAACACACACCTTTTATTTTATATATTGGTCTTTTTTTTTATTTTATAATAATAGCGCTATTTAAAAACAAATAAAATGTGTCTCATAAATTTAGACTCACTTTTTCTATCTTTATTTCCATATAAGTGCTTAACCTTTTTTTTTAAAGATTGTAATTCTAACATGGATCAAAATATATTTTCTAAAATATTATGTTTAAATCCATTTAAAAATTAAATTATTTACTAACTTAGTGCACGCTAATCAAAATATACACTTTTTACTCATTATTTGCATTTAAAATATTTAGAAAATGGGTAAAACATCAGTATCAAAAGAAATCAAAGAAAGAATTATCACCTTGCACCTTGCTGGTAATTCTACAAGAAAAGTTCAGTTGATTCTCAAGAACGTATCACAGTCATGTGTCACTAAAACAATAGCTAAGTGGAAAAAAACAGGTAGCACATTAGATAAAATCAGATCCGGAAGACCCAGAAAAACAACTACCACTGATGATAATAGTATATACAGAATTGCCAGAAAAAATCCTAAGTATAGTGCCAAACAAATTGCTCAAGAAATAAATCTAGCTCTTAAAAATGACATCTCAAGGCAGACAGTAAATAGAAGATTAATTGATCGTAAACTATGCTCGTATACTGCTGCTAGAAAACCAATGCTTAAAAGATCAGATCGACTCAAACGGCTACAATTTTGCAAGAAAATTCTTAAGATGAGTGATAGTGATATAAAAAAAATTGTATTCAGCGACGAATCGAATTATGCAGTCGTTAATCGAAAAAAAAGAGTAACTGTTCGAAGACACCATAATGAGAAGTTTCATAATCGTTTCATTGTACCTCGGTTACAGGGCGGAGGAGGTTCAGTTGGGATCTGGGGTTGTATCACGTATGATGGACCCGGACTATGCTACTTGTACACTGGTAGAATGGATCAATACAGATACATTGAGACGCTTGAAAATAATTTGATTCCAACAAGAGACTTATTTTTTGGAGATGAGCCAGAATGGAAATTTCAGCAAGATAATGCCCCTTGTCACAAAGCAAAAACAGTAACAGCTTGGTTTAAAGAAAATAAAATCAATTTACTCCAGTGGCCAGCTAGATCGCCAGATTTAAATCCAATGGAAAATGTATGGTCTGTGCTTGATCGAAAACTGACCAAAGCTCCTGTAACTTCAGCTGAAGAACTACGAAAAAGTTTAAAAGAGTTGTTTGATGGCTTGTCCTTTGAATATTGTCGAAATCTTTTTGAATCTATTAAAAGAAGATGTAGACTTTGCATAGCTAACAAAGGCGGTCACATACCTTATTAACTTGACTTACAGTTTAAAGTGAAAAGTCCTGAGTCTAAACTTATGAACAAGATTTTTATAGATATCTTTTTACATGATTTTGCTATTTTCAAAATAAAATACTTTAAACTTGTTTTTCTTTTCAAGTCTTTTATATATATTAAAGAGAATTTCATAAATAATAAACTGGGTTAAAAATAAAATTAAAAACAAAACAAAAAAGGCATTTTTTTAAATCACAAATCACTAAGAAACTATAAGTTTTATTCTGAGTCTAAACTTTTGATCACTAGTGTATATATATGTATATATGTATATATATATATATAAATATATATATATATACACTTACTAAAGCGTGTTTTGATAAGCATTTGCTCACTTTTTCTGCTTACCTTAAGCTATACCTTTTTTTTCGAAAAAGAAGAAGAAAAAACAAAGAATGATGAATAAAACGATTGCTTCCCCATCCCAAACCCTCAGTCGATGTAGCAGTGCTCCACTGCGAGTCAGGCTATTTGTCAGTCGATGTATGTACTGAAGTCCCCAGCACCAGGCTATTTTAGTATGATATCAGATTGCTTACCTTAGTACGCAATACTATTTGTATATATATATATTATATATATATATATATATATATATATATATATATATATATATATATATATATAATACACACACACTATAATTTTAGGCTTGCATGTGATTTTAATACAGGGTTTCCCACTTCATTTCGACAACGTATCATTCAATTTCGACATTGTATCATTCATTTTCGACAATATTTCATTCGATTTTGACACCGTTGCATTTGATTTCGACTGTTTTGCTTTCAATTTCGACAGCGCTAATAATACTTAAATTAATATACAAATAAAGCAGTTAGATTCTTTCTAAATTCATTTAAAAAAAAAAAGTTTTTAGTTTGGAAACAAACAAAAATCTAAACAAAATAATTATCGTATAAAAAGGATTGTAATTGCAAGTAAAAATTGCTAATAAAAAAAAAATTACAAAAGTAAGTTTATTCTTCAATAACTGGTTCTCTTCTCAAACACGGAATCATATACCTCAGTACGTGCGCAAAATAATTATTACAGTTTGTGCTAGTAATATTCAATGCACCGTTTTGTATATTTTCAAGCAGTTCCTCCTCAGTCCTAGACGAACATCTTCTGATAAACTGTTTCCATTCAGAAAACATATTTTCAATAGGGTTTAAAAAGGGGGAATATGGAGGTAAAAATATCAAAGAATGCCCAGCACATACTATTTCATTATGAACAACAGCAGTTTTATGAAAACAAACATTGTCTAAAATTAAGATAGCTCCAACAACTTCATTAACAGCTAATTGTGCTAATACTAAATGAATAAAATCTAAAAAGCTTTCTGTATTAAATGCTTTTGTTTGTGCTTCATATTTCAAAATTCTGTTTTTGTTCATTGCATAACAGACAGAAATATTTCTTTACTGTATATTGGTTACTGTTTGTGTGGCCCTCTTTCCAGCTAAAGAACGTCCTCTTCTAACTTGCATTGAAAGACTAAATCCTACTTCATCAATAAAGAATATTTTATTGTCATTCATAGAAGACAAAATGTTCATGAGTCTTTCTGCATAGGAAGCTCTTTCATTAATAACGTCTTCCGAATTTCTTCTCTCTGGAATATTGTGAACACGTTTCAAAGTATAATTAAAACTATCAATGCATCTTGCTATAGTAGATTGACTGACTGAAATGGATTTTTGTTCAAAAAGTCTTTGTTTAATTTCCTTAAGAGTTATTCCAAAATCATCATCAATCCAATTTTTGATTAGTACCTTGGATTCTTCTGTTAATTTTTTGTTTCTAGAACCACCTTTTAATTGCCGTTCTATCGGCAAACCATTTTTATATATTTTAATAATCGAATAGATTGTAGTTCGTTTAAATCCAAGAATATTTACAATTTCTGATGATGAGTTTCCATTTAAGTAAGATTCAATTATCCTTGAACGGTTTTCATTGTTGATTGTTTGATTCGGCATTGCTGTTTATAAATATTGAAAATGATATTTAAGCTTTTATTATAAACTCTTGTTGTATTGAAGAGACAAATGCTTTTATTTACTTAATAAAAAATTATAACATTAGTTTATAGTTTGATGACAGTTTAATTATGTATTGTTGAGATATTTTCCAAAGCGTAGATATTTTTTTTTGGGCAATTGGACATAATTTATCCGGCAATAAAAATCAAATTCAAAATAGAGTGTTTTTAAATTGTCGAAATGTGATGCTGCAGTGTCGAAATTGAATGCAAAAGTGTTGAAATGTAGTGATACAATGTCAAAATTGAATGCAAAAGTGTCGAAATGTAGTGATACATTGTCGAAATGAGGTGAGAAACCCTGTATGAAGCTTTTATTATAATATAAACAAGATTTATTTAGTGTTTAAATATTTTATAAATTTGCATCTTTACTTGTCCAAAATATAAATTTTAAAATTTTTCTTGTGCTATTAAGATCTTTAATTGAAAAGATATTTACATACTTTATTAAGATAATAGTTCGATATTATTATTGATTTGAAAAAATAATTTTGCTTTATTTAAAGTAATTTAAAAAGAATGGTTTTTCTAGCTGCTGGTCTGTATTATGTTGCTGAAGTAGTCGAAGAATATTCTGTAATGACTGCTAAAGTTATCAAATACATGATTTATGTAAGAAATTTTTAATTTTTAACACTTTTTTTTGTATTACTTTGTTTAAACGTTTAAAATAGTTTTTATATATTTAAATGCAATTATATTATTCAGAATGTAATAAAGAGTTTTCAAAAAATAATTTATTGTTTAGTTATATGACAGTTCTCAAAATTGTCATCTAATTAAAAAAGTTGCTAATCATTTTTACTTAACATTTCTCACATTAAATTTTTAATAAAATTTTCTCACACTTAATTCATAAAATTTTGCATTAATGTTCATCAAATTCAATCATTATTTTTGTATATTTTTGTTTTTCTGATTCAACCTTCTTATTGCTAGTTAAAGTTCAAACTCTACCGATTTAAAATGTTTTTAATATTAGTATGATAAATTACATTTTTTATTTATTCTGATTCACTTCCCATTAAGGCTTCAGCAACCACTATTAAGTTGGGAGTTAAAAAAAAGTAGAATTATAGAGCATGGAAACAGTTGACAGAAGACTTAAAAAGTTGAAGGTTGTAGAGTCGGGAAAACATGAAGATGAGAGAGAGTTCCAAAGGGTTGAGGTTCTAGAAAAAAAGTAGAAGAATAAAAGTTTTTAGAGCATGCAGGAACAGATTTTAAACGAATGAGACTTTGCTGAACAATGAGTCAAGCAAGAATGAGTTTTAGTGGATGGAACTAGATTAAATATGACAACAGTATTCTATACAGAAATGAACAAGAAATTTATATAGGTAGAGAATGGAGAGAGAAAATGGCAAGCACAATAAAGAGAAGGAACCTTAGCAGATGCTAATTTAGCAATCGATTGTATATATGGTTTCCATGAAAGGTCAGTAGTGAACAATAGTACAGATGTAAAGAAGAAGACTCAGTGAGAGGGTTGCCATTCATTAATATAGGAATGTTGTCAGTGCTGCGATAGTTGTTTGCAGTAAATAACTGAGTTTTGTTGGAGTTTAAATTTAAACCACTGTGAGCCCCAATCTGTTACAGAAGTGAGATCAAATTCAAGATCGGCTACCTGTTCTATGCAATCGAAAAGAGAAGACTTTTTTGTTGTCATGACAGGAGTATAATCAGAGTTGAATTATCAGCAAAAAGAGATTTAGATGTAAGGTTGTTGAGAAGATCATTAATGTAGATAAAAAACAAAACAAGACCAAGGATAGAACCTTAAGGTACCTTAGAAGTTACTGGAAAGAAAGAAGTGTGTTGACCTGTTAAATTCGAATGAAATGAAAAGAATGGCCATAAGATTTGAGAGTCAAATTAGAAGAAAAGTTCTTTGCAAATAGTTCTGCCTTATCCTTGGCAGAGTTAATAAGATCAGTCCAATGACTAAGAGATGAAATATTTGACCTACCTTTGTTAACAATGTTGTTAAAGATTTTCTAGAGCCTAACTTCTGAGATAAAATGCAAGATTTAGTGAACTGAGAAAAATGGAGCTTAGCATCAGACAGCACACTTTTACATCGATTTCTTGCAATAATAAATTGCAGTTTGTTCTCAAGAGAGTTGTTCTTTTGAATAAAATGAAAAAGAATGATTACAATTAGATATATCATGTGCACAAGAGGGTGAAAACCATGGAGTAGAATGAGGCTTGACTTAGAACCAACAAGAAGGAATAAAAGCTTCCATTCCTGCTTGGTTACATAGGAAGCGCACTTTTCAGGCGCACTTTATATGGATAGTTTTAAAAAAGTGATTTTTATTAGCTTGTATTAAATTAAAAAAAAATTATGACCTCCTCAACTTTGGAAAAAATCCTAAAGTTGTTAAAATATGCCAAAATGAAACTAACTGTAGCATTTTTCTATTCATCGACAAGTCTTTACAGATAAGTTTTCTGATTAGCTACTATTGTCTGCAATAAATGGGCAAAATATAGGCAGCTTGTTGCAGTCTAGAACTCAAATATATCTAAAAGCAAAATGTCTACTCGCTTACAAAGTCCAGATTTCAGCCATTTTGAGATGCTTGTAAGTTTTTCTTACACTTTGTTTTGATCTAAGATAAACAGCATATAAGACCATTAGACCCAACTATCTGAAAATGCAAACATTATAAACTTGTCAAATTCACACTAAAAATGCCAGCATTGTAAAATAGCCCTATTTTTCAATTATCAACGGTTAAATATGTACCCTCTAATCTGTCAACTGGCCTATGTGAAGGCTGCAACTAACTATAAATCATTTCTTAATAAAAAGAAAGATATGGTTGGTTACCCTCTCCTTGATTTGATCTTTGTAGTAGATAGGAGCACAAATAAAGGGGGCAGTAAATTTTCAGAGACCTTCATCATGGTTTAAATGAAGGTCTCTAAATTAATTTAGATATTTAGATAATTAATTTAATATCTAAATATCTAAATTAATTTCAAATTGAAAGTGTTATTTCTTTAAATTCTATTTTATTATAGGTGATCAGTGGTCTGTATGTGGTCTGGACACCCCTCCCCACCCCCTAAGGGTGAGGGGGGTTGGGGGTGGCACTAATCAATGGGGCGATGGAAAGAGCAACTAACTTTTAGTAATTTAATTAACTTTTGTTAATTCCTTTTTAAGACCATAACATTGTATATTTGCTGGATAGTTAATAAATCTAGCACACACATGTCAAGGTCACTATCAAAATTAGAATTATACGGTAAAAGCATGACAAAATGCAATAAAGATCTAATGGCCAAAACTGTGTATTCATCAGAAAATAAATCATGTGTGTTTCATATTTAAAAATGAATGCTTGTATCTTTGTAAGTTTGTTGCTCCCCTCCCCCTTTGATTGATTCCACCCCACCCCACCCCATCGTGTCACCCTAACCTTAGGGGGCGATAGATTAAAGAGGTGCTAAGCGGAAGCACATAAAAGAATGGTCAAAGTATTCAAACCTGATTTTATAACAAATAGTTGAACTGATGCATATGTATACTCTTAAGCCAAGCATGTGTCTTTTTTGAATCAAAGGAAAGTACCCATTAGCACTGAGATCAGAAGAAGGAATAGCAGAATTTAAATTAGTATCACTAAGCAAGCAAAAGCCTCTATCAGCTGAATCTTACCTCTTGCAAATCTGGTAAATTTTGTAAGAGGTAAGATTCAGCTGATGGAAGGTTGCTTTGCAGACCACGAATATTAGTAAAAGATATATTAAATAAGTTAGGTGGTGGGATGGTTTTTTATGTTAAATTTTTGGGTTCCTTTTTATATTTATGTTTAAAGAGATTTTGACCCATTCATAGAGCACATCTTCCTAAGGATTGAGCTATGCAATTCTCTCAGTTCTTTTAATTAACCCTTAGTCATAACATAGGGCTCCTTATGTGGCCTCAATGCGCACCAAAAGCATTAACAGGGACACTATCCATGTGCAACATGGCACTGTTAATACTTTGATATTTTGCAGCCATCTCTAGCCTTTACTCAACCAAGAGCCGCAAGACAGGGAAATTTAAAGTCCGAATTTGTATCTTCTAACTTTTGCCTAAAAGAGCACACTCTGCAAGGCAGCAGAGCTAGGGGCAGGTAGTACTGGGTTACATAATACCAGTAGCAGGATGATTGTGATAATCCTGAACCTGACCTGACCTGGAGTAATTAAAAGAAGCTACATCCTGCAAACAGTACCTCAAAACATTGAGCATGATATTTTGGAAATGCATTATGAAAAATATTACATCTAACAAAATACTAGAGATAAAAGTTTTATAGTTTTAGTGTCTAGTTAGTTAAACATGGAATAAACTGTGAGCAATTAACGAGTTAATATAGCAGCATTCAAGCTGCCACACAAAATGATGTACTAAAACAATTTTTGATGCTTGTAAATCTTAGAAATTTGGTGGCTGAGCATTTACAACATTGTCTGGCATTTGTTAGCCAAGCAGTTGTGAAAAAAGGTTATATCGTAGCTTTTGTTGAATTTTCTATAATATTTGATGTGATGCCCACGGTAGTTATAAGTGTTAATTGGATTAACAAAAAAACTGACCAGTTGAATAAATCAATTTTATCCTCAAATTTAAATTTCTGAATAAGATCCCATATGTCTATTGTATACTTTTGTTTGATTTACTTGCTTGGATGATTTTCTATGGTATTCTTGTTTGTGAGTAATTCTTAAATTTCATCATTATCATATTATTATGTTATATGCATTATTCTAAGTGCGATATATGTATATATATATATATATATATATATATATATATATATATATATATATATATATATATATATATATATATATATATATATATATATATATATATGTATATATATATATATATATATATATATATATATATATATATATATATATATATATATATATATATATATGTATATATATATGTATATGTATCTGTATTAGTGCTTGCATATATCTTCACGAGAGTGCTAAATAATGATAAACACAGTAATAAACTGTAATAAATAAGTAATAAACACATAAACACAAGTAATAAACACATAAAACACAGTTGTAAACATTTATACAATTATAATAAAAAATAAACAATTATAACATAAAACACATATAAACACAAGTAATAAACACATAAAAAAAACATTAAAATTAAACCAGTACAAAAATACCGCTGAAGTCATCAAATGATTCAAAAGCATAAAAGAAAAGAAACACTGCACTTTTATCCAACTGAATTTTACCATCACACCCACAATTCTAAAAAATGCTCTAACGTTTGCAAAACAACTTATAAAAATTAGCGAAGAAGAAATCAGAACAATTATCCATTGCAGAAAGTCTTTGTTATTTTTCAACAACGAAACTTGGAAAAAAAAGTCAACTAACAACTGCTTCGACGTCACAATGGGTTGTTACAATGGAGCCGAGGTTTGCGAGCTGGTTGGTCTGTATATATTATATTCATTATCTGAAACTGTTACCAACAGCGATATGGGCCTTTACCGGGACGACGGACTGATAATAAATGCGTCAAAAATCTGCCACACAGATAGATAGAATCCGAAAAAATA